CACACCGATTCATCCCCTCCGTTCTCATTCTCTGCTCTATCACCCCCACGTAACAGCGAAACTCGACCAGGGATACATAGATAGATAGGCCGATTAGATGGACGGGGGACCCCAATTTCGATGCTATCAACGTCATTGACTTTTTCTTGAAAAGAAAAGAAAAGAAAAGAAAAGAAAAGAAAAGAGGACAAGGGTCAGGTTGACAGCGAATCGGCTTCGCTGGTCGGGCTGGTCGTGACGAAACGGAGCTTGACCTTCCCAACCTAGCTTATGTACCTATCTAGAGAGGAGGAGGAGGAGGAGGAGGAGGAGGAGGAGGAGGAGGAGGCAAGGTGAGTTTTGATTTGATCGTTGAATATTTATTTGCCTTTTTTAACTTAACGAAATATTCCATTTTCATTGTTACCTCTCTTGTCTTAAGCTATTCTCGCAATTCTCGCAATTCTGAAGCAAAAAAAGACAATAGAACACGATCAGACTGAGGGTCTGTTGGAGTGACGCAATCGAAAGTTGGAAGATGATTAAAAAAAGGAAAAAAGAAAGAAAAAAGAAAATTCCAACATTGTGCGGGTTTTAGAGCAACGCAAAAACAAGACAGTTTTTCCCCGTCAACTAACTAGGAATGAATGTTGACAGTTCGACAATGTAAACGCACGCGCGCGAGAAGATTTCAACATAGCAGGGATAAAAAAAGAGAAAAGAATTGGACTTTGAGACTTGAAATTTAAAGACAAGTATCCATTGGAAAAAGCAAAGAAACGAGAAACGAGAAATGCAACTTGTGTGAGAGTGTGGTTACATACATCATGACATCGATAGAGAGACATAGACGCAGATAAGTTCAACGCCAATGGTTAATGGGAATTAAAAATGCAATATAAAAACTCGAGACTGCGGGGAAATGTAAAGGGAAAAAGCGGGGGAAGTTGGAGAGAGGATGAAGAAGAAAGTAATGAGTCCGTGTGCGTTTCTGACATAATGGTTGAAGGGAGAAAGAAAAAAAGCAAATGAAAATCAGATGAAGTAAGGAAATGATGAAAATCAAGAGAAGAGCAAAGCAGCGCAAAAACACAGACAAACATAAAACATTTGTTGCTTTATTAAAGGAAATTGGGAGAGAGGACAGACAGAGCATAAAGTAAAAGTGACTGTAAGGAAGTTGAACCGTGAAGGATGCGTTGCAAGGAGGACGGGGAAGTGTCAGGGGATCTTCTGGAAACACAACATGATGAGAGTGCAGTACGCTTTGAGTTGAATAGACGAGGATTGAAGGATTAATTGGATGCCCTTTTGCTTCGATCCGGCGTATATTCCAGGTTATGCATGCAATTTAGTTGAAAATTTCTTTCGAAGATTCTTTCGAAGATGGGTGCGAGTTCAAACTGCCCACAAGAAAATCAACAATGAAGATAACCTTGGATCCCATACAACTGAAAGAGAAACAATTAGCTCGCGGTCCTTGAGTCGTAAACTTCTACCCTTCCGGCAGAAATAGGTGATAGCCTGTCCCTACTTGTTCGTTGGTTCGTTCCTCCATTTTGACACACGCTCCACTACCTTTTCTTTCTCTCTCATTTGACTTTATCAAGTCGAATTCCTTGTCATAATTCATCGTCGTATCGGAAGTCCCTCTTTATTCCATGGCGGACTAGTACCCGCACTCCCCTCTTGTCCTTTAGCAGTTGTAGAAATAGTTGTGCCCTTCTTCGTATCCGGCGATGGGGGCGTCGCCCCCGTTTTCTGCTGCTCCGGTTCGTCGTCGAAGCTAGTTTCGCGGTTCAGGAAGCTGCTCTCTTTGATGGGACTTCGGCTGACGCTGGTGTGAAAACTATTATTTGAGACTCCATGAGGCTGGAGGCTGGAGTGTTGGCCGTTGCCGAAGGGGCTGGGGATGTTGCTGTTCTGCGGCGGGGAGGCGGCGGTCAGGTGGGGAATGTTTTCTGGGAGGGGATGGCGGGATCCGATGCTGGGTGACGCCAACGTCTGAGGCTTTCCGGCTTTGCTGAGTGCGTAGTCTCATGAGTCGAAGTATTTTCGTTCCTGGTTTGGTGGTAATGGGAGAGATAATTGGTTAGGTACGTTCATTGATACAGAGCAGGAGCAAGAGCAATTGAGGTTGTGGCATTACGGCATGGAGGAGAAGAAACGCATAACCGGTATTTGACGTACTTTCAGCTTGTTCTGCAGCAGATCTTTCTTGGTAGGCATTTTGCCATAGAGCCGGAATAGTCGTTGCTCGTCCGGGCTCAGCGACTGCATATTGAAGCGGGGTCAGTCGGATTACAGCCAGCGCAGATGGGGGTCAAGGTGGGGCTCACGTTGATGTCAATTTTGTTTTGCTGATGAGGGTTCATCTTTCCAGGTTTATTGTGCTTTTTTTACTTGGAAGGAGAAAGCAGACGTTGGGTGCTTCTTCTTGGCTGTAAACCGTTCTTGTTTCAAGCTGGTACTCCTCTGCGGGAGACGATGTTGATCTAACCCAGAGCTAAAATTGGCTGAGGGAAGAGGTATCACTTGTATGATTCCACGGCGAACGAGAGTCAGAGAATTCGCAATTCAAGGTATAACAGTGGGATGTATGGTGGAACAAGGAGAACGACGACGAGAGTTGACGAATGGGGCTAAAACGGTGTCAACGGTTGTAGTGGATGTTCCCCGTCTAGCTGAGGAGGTAGTGGATGTTGTCGACACGCCACGCCAAAGTTACCGTAGCTGGCCCAGACACCGGCGAGGAGGAGAACGCGGGATACACGGGATACGAGGAATACGAGGGGGAATGGAAGATATCAATGAGTCTTAAGGTTACGAGAACAGGAAATGGAAATGCGGAGTTCGAGTTCGAATCGTTCGGTGGCAGAAGAGATGGTTGGAGTTGGGAGGATTGTGGGATATTTACAATACGTGACCAACCCTTAGTTAACTACGGCCAGTCGAAACTTAACACGGAGGCGGTCATTTTGACAGCGTTCTCTATCCGGGGACGATGCTCTCATACCAGCATCTATACACACTAATCTGTTCATGGCCCTTCAGACATGAGAAGGATACAGGATACAATATAATATTCCACCCGTACCGTCTGATGCAGACCCCTCCAAGCCCTGGAGGTCTGGGCCTGCGCCAGTTCCGCCCCTGTCACCTGACACATCGCCGGCAACTTCCAAGGCTCGAATCTATGGAGAGGATCGAAGAAAGCACACATCGTGGTCTTTTGTTTTATTTTATTTCTTTCTTTATCTAAATACCACGTTGGTCTTCCCCGTCCTTCATTGGTTGCCAGCAACTGTCTAACATGACTTAGTTAACTTTGTTCTGCGCTTTTAAGCTCTCCAGTGCTCTTCTCCAGGGATTATTTTGCACTTCTGCACGGTGGAAGGATAATGGCAATTTAATCACAGAACGAGCTGTTAAAACCTATATATTTGTTTCCCCCTCAGCGGTATTCGCTACACGGTTCAAACTGCCACACTCAAGATCCAGCATCCAGTTATTATTCCCTGTTTCCTATTTTCCCCCTTCCTCAAGAAGGTGAGAAAATCCGAGAAACTATGAGCAACGAATCTCAAACGCTGCCATCGGCAGCGACCTTTGTAGTCGAGCACCTGGACCCAGAATTGGGCTCCTGGTCCGCTCTGGAGTATGGTTGCATCGCTCAAGAATCCAGCGCCG